CGCAGCTGCTGCCGGGGAAAAAAAGGCAAAGTGGCGCAAATGAAGCGCAATTTGGCGCAAATAAATGCAAATGGATTCGAAAAGGAGAAAGAGGGTGGCAGCAGATGCAGACAGACGCAAAAGCGGCTCCGAAACGCGCGAAACTGGCCGAGTTCCGAAAAAAACGGGAAGGTCCACGCGGTAGCAGCTGCTGCTGCAGCAGCAGCGCGTCCCAAGTGCAAGGCAGCAGCGGCAAACGCGAAGGACGCAGCAGCAGCAGCAAGTCCCAAGTGGCAGCAGCAGGGCAAGTGCGGAATGGGCAGCAACACCAGCAAGCGCCAAATGCGCAGCAGCAGCAAGTGCCAAGTGCGCAGCAGCAGCAGCAAATGCGAAGTACGCCACAGCAGCAGCAAATGCGTAGCAGCACCAGCAGCAGCAAATGCGTAGCAGCACCAGCAAATGCGAAATAGCAGCAGCAGCAAGTGCGAAGCACGCCGCAGCAGCAGCAAACGCGAAATGTGCAGCGGCAGCAGCAAGTGCCAAGTGCGCAGCAGCAGCAGCAAATGCGAAATACGCCACACGAGCAGCAGCAAACGCGAAGTAGGCAGCAGCAGCAGCAAATGCGAAATAGACCGCCGCAACAGCAAGTGCGAAGTGGGCAGCAGCAGCAGCAAGTGCGAAATACGCAGCAGCAGCAGCAAATGCGAAGTACGCAGCAGCAGCAGCACATGCAAAATACATCGCAGCAGCAGCAAATGAAAAGTACGCCACAGCAGCAGCAAAAAAAGAGGAATTTGCAGCAGCAGTCCGCAACAGCAGCAGCAGCGACTCTGGCTCTGGTGCAGCAGCAAAGATTTTCAGTTTTGCTCACCTTGGAACGAATTCGCTGTAGAGGCAAAACGCCCTGTAAAGCAAGCTGTCTTGTTCGCCTCTGAGAGCCGCTGAAATTCAGAAAAATGTTTTGCAAAAGTCCAAAAAGTGAAAAAAGAATTCAAAAAGATTAAAGTATTCAAAATGACCGCAAAAAGAGTTTAAAATATTCAAAAAGTCCGCAGAAAATGCAAGTGAAAAGCTTTTCTGAAATGCAATTGTGAAACGCGAAAGCTGGAAAACAGGAAAGCTGCCGAGACACCTAACGAACCCGCGGGAAAGCTGCAGCTTTCCGCCTTTTTCTGCACGCCAAAAGTTGTTTTTTGCATTTATTTAAATACATAAATGCAAATAAATGCAAGTGAATGCAAATTAATTAATTATTTTCGGAAGTTGTTTCGTTTGGGACGCAGAACAACAGCTGGGGCGCAGACAGGCGGCGCCAAGTTGAACGAGTGGAAAGCTGGAGGTTGCGTGCAGATTGTGGAGTTAAAAATTAAAAAACTTGAAAATAAAATTAAAAACTTTAAAATAAAATCAAAATGAATTCAAAATAAAACCAAAGGGAATCTAATTGTGCAGCAAAAGGGGAAAAGAGCCGCTGGACTCTGCAGCAGCTGCTTCTCACTCAGGACTGCGGGGGGCTCTTGAGTGTCGATTTCGTCGAGGGGACTTTCTCCGGAGAAAGATGTTTGCGTTTCTGCGTCGGAGAAGGTTTTAGGAGGAGTCAGTTTTGCTGCTGCTGCTGCTGCTTCCTCTTCTTCTTTCCTTCGCCTTTCTGCTTCTTCTCTTTCCGCCCTTTCTTCTTCCTCCCGCAGCCGCCGCTGCGCTTCCGCCTCCTCCTTGTCCTGCGCATGCATGCATGCATGCAGACCCACTTGGTCTCCTCCAAACTCACTGCAGCAGCAGCAGCAGCAGCAGCAGCAGCAGCAACAGCGGCAGCAGCAGCACAGCAGCAGCAGCAGCAGGAGCTGACCAGGTTGACTTGGACGGCGACGTGGAGGCTTTCGATGTGGACTTGTTCGCCGACCTCTCGGGTCTCCGGCGCTGCTTCTGTTGCTGCTTCCTGCGTCTGCTGCTGCTGCTGCACCTGCTGGTCCTGCAGCAGCGGCTCGCAGTCTGCTGCAGCATCTTTGACTTCGACAACTGCGTTGCACTCCTTCTCTGCGCACTCGGGGTTGACCTGCGGGGCGCAGCAGCTTCATTTCGAAACTTGAAATCCGCAAAAAACGCCAAGTCCGGGGCCAAATTGGACCATTTTTGCATTAAAAAGACTCCATTTTATCATTTGAGATATTTAAAACGATTTAAAATACTTTTAATTCAAAAAAGTCAAAAAATTTGCATGCAAATCACCTGAATGCCGCAGTGTACAAGCTTGTGCCGCCGGTCCCGCCGCGGCGCCGTCTGCAGCAAATGCGCCACTAACGCGTTCACCTGAACAAAATAAAAAAGAATTTAAATTAAATTTGAAATTTAAAATTAAATTTAAATTTGAAATTAAAATTAAAATTAAAATTAAAATTGCATTTAAAATCAGAAGCTGGGCTTGAGCTGCTGCGCGCTGGTCACCGGAAACGCGTACAGGAATGGAACAAAAGGATTGAAATTGGATTTCCTTTTGAATTTCTTTTTTTAATTTAATTTCAATTAAATTAAATTAATTAATTAATTAATTAATTTAATTCAATTTAATTTAATTCAAAAGACTCACTGCGTCTTGTTCGGGCAAGTTAGCTTTGCGGAACTTGAGGCGCGCCATCAGGTGTATCACCTGCAGAAACGAGTCGTACTCTGTGGAGGGCGCAGAGCAGAAATGAGGAAAAAAAGGTGCATTTGAATTAAAAAAAAGCAAAAAATAGGATAATTTTGCAAAATAAATTCATTTAAAAGGTAAAATTAAAGTTTTATCCGCGAAAAAACGGCGGATCGCGCTCCCCGGGGCCCCGAAACTTGAACTTGAACTGCGGCGCTCACCCAGACACCGCTCGCCCTTCGCCACGGACTTGAAAATGTGCTGCAGAGGGTCTGGGTCTTTATGAACTGGAAACAGTTTGTTTTCGAGGCACTGCAGCAAAGCAGCAGCAGCAGCAAGAGGCACTGCAGCAGGTCAGCAGCAGCAGCAGCGGCGCTGCAGCGCGTCCGCAGCACCAACAGCAGCAACGCGCAAAAGCTGCAATCTGCAGCGCAGCAGCGCGCGCTGCTGCAGCGCTGCATGCAGCCTTCTCCTGGCTCTTTAATTCTGTGGATTCGTTTGGCTTCCCTAGCTGCTGCTGCTGCTGCTGCTGCTGCAGCAAACTGACCATCTTGATGAAGTGGGACTCCGTCATGAATCCGTTGTAGGCGTAGAAGTCGAAGACCTGCTGCAGCGGGCGGTCTAAAGAAGAAGCCATATAGAAAATGACTCCGCCGTCTGGCTGGGTCTTCAAGTAGATCTGGTTCGCGGGAGCCTCGGGTTCCGCGAAGGAAACGTGCACCCGCGGGGACCTGGGGGGTCCCGAGTTAATTAAAATGGAATGCGGCATTGCAGCAGCTTTTTTTGAGCCCAAGATCGCAAAAAAGTGACCGAATCTGCGCTTTCGGCGGAGCGGGAGGCAGCGCGCGGCGAGCTGTCTGTACACCCGGAGGCCCGCAGGTATCGGGGGCTCAATTCGCGCTTCCGCAGCCTCAAAGCATTTCTTCTGCGACTTAGTGGCAATAAAAAACAAATTAAATCCTTCGAGAAGGGTATTTCACGGAAGAATGCAAAAGCGCCGCCGAAGGTGCCCGCAGTGTGCAGACCATTGGCTTTCAGCAGCGGGGCCTCACGCACAGCAGCTCCAGCCCTCCACCGCAGCCAAAGACCCCTTCTTTAAATGAAATTTGCAAAACAAAATGCATTTGTAGTTTAAATTGAAAGAGAGAAGAGCTTTTCGAAGAAGATCCGCGGGAAGCTGCATAGGCAGCTGCTGCTGCTGTGCGGCGGTCCAACGGTCTGCTGCAGCAGCAGCTCTCGCGCAGCCCGCAGCGCCCACAACTTTGAATTTCCTTTTCAAAATATAAATTCTTTTAATTAAATTCAAATTAAAAGAAAATAAAATCAAAAAAAGAAATTCTCTCTCACTTCCCCGCACGCAGCCGCCGCGGTGTCTGGCCGCATGCTGCGGCGACGCCGACGCGCGCTGGCTGGCTGCGCTCAAACCCTAAACCCTAAACCCTAAACCGCCGAGACACGTTTATGAAATGAAAAGCACTGTGCTGCTGTAAGAGGTTTACTTTGCTATTTGCTGAACATTTAAACAATTAAAATTAAGAGATGCATGCAGGTGAGTGCATGCAAAGAGCTGCATGCAAGGACTTTAAAAGGATTTAAATTGCATTTAAAACGCAACAATGTAATCACGAACTCTCTAGGTTTATTCACATTTGCTGCATGCAGCAGCAGCAGCAGCAGTGCACTGCAGCAAAAGAATCCAAACCCTCTGCATGCTGCCCCTTTTGGCCCCTCCTTGGGTTTCAGGTGTACGTACACCCCGCGATAAGCAAAAGAATAAATGACAAGTTAAAAACAAACCGAGCGATCGTCGAAAAAAATTAAGAAGCATCAACTAACCAAGTGCAGCAGCAGCAGCAGCAGCTGCTGCTGCTGCTGCTGCTGCTGCTGGTGCTGGTACTGCGTCTACCGTGGGTGCTGCTTCTGCAGCAGCAAAGACGCAGCAGCAGCTGCTGCGCTTGCTACTGGTGATGCTACCGCAGCAGCAAAGACGCAGCAGCAGCAGCGGCTGCTGCTGCTGCACGTGCTGTTGGTGCTGCTTCTGCAACGGCCAAGACGCAGCAGCGACTGCTGCTGCTGCTACACCTGCTGCTGGTGCTGCTTCTGCAGCAGCTAAGGCGCAGCAGCAGCAGCTGCTGCTGCTGCTGTTCCCGGCCTCAGAAGCCTCCGGGCGCCAATTAAATGAGAGATTCTTTCGGCGCTTCAAATTAAACATATTTAATTCAATTTATTTTTATTATTATTTATTTATTTAATTAAATGCTTCAAGAGACAATCTGCTGCTGCTGCTGCTGCTGCTGCTGCTCAGCTACGTGAGGAGCAGCAGCGGCGCTGTCGCTTCTCTGGCTGCTTTTCTGATTTGGCTTTGCTGCTGTCTGCTGCGGCGTTTGCTGCTGCTGCTGCTGCTTCTGCTGCTGCCCCGGCCTCCTTGCGCTTCTTTGAAACTGCTGCTGCCAGGCCCTCTTTGCTGCTGCTGTCGCCCGTGCTGCTGCTGCTGTTGCTGCTCGCAGCAACAGCGACGGGCCGCTCCGCCTTGGCTGCTTCCACCTTGGCCTTGATCTCCTGAGCTGCAGCAGCAGCAGCAGCAGCTGCTGCTGCTGCTGTCCGCTTCCGCTGCCTGCTTTCTCTTTGCTGCTCCCGAGTGTTGGCCCTGGCGGGGCTTTCTATCTTTGCTTCCTTCAGTGCTGCTGTCTCTACTCTCTTTTGCTGCTTCTTTGGTTGCTGCTGCTGTTGCTGCTGCTGCTGCTGCGCCTTGGCGTTCTTTGCTGCTGCAGCGCGGGCGGCCTCAGGGGGTGCCGCCGCTTTAGAAGGCCTCCCTCTGGGTCGTTTTGCTGCTGCTGGCTTTGCAGCAGCTGCCTTGGCAGCGCTGCTGCTGCTGCTGCTCTTGCTGCTGCTGCTCTTGCTGCTGCTGCTCTTGCTGCTGCTGCTCTTGCTGCTGCTGCTCTTGCTGCTGCTGCTGGTGCTGCGTCCCCTGTTGGCGGTGCTGTTCTTGCTGGCGGCGCCGTTGTTCCGGGCGGGGGCGTTGGCGCCCCTGCTGCTGCTGCTGCTGCTGCTCTCCTTGCCTTTGGCAGCAGCAGCAGCAGCGCCGACGTTTTGCTGCAGCCTTGCTGCGTGTTTGCTGCTGGCTCTGTCTGTTTGGGGGCTGCGGGGGGCAGGTGCTGGTCTGGTGGGCGCTGGTGCAGCAGCAGTAGCAGCAGCAGGAGCGGGAGCCGGCGTGTCTGCTGCTGCTGCAGCAGCAGCAGCAGCAGCAGCTTCCGCCTGTTGCTTTTCTCTATTTTTACTGACAATGGCCCCCATTTTGGCGGCGCAGAAAAGAAGGGTTCGCCCGGGGCTTCGGGTGTACAGACAGCAGCAGCGCCGCGCGAGTCGCCGCCTGCTGCAGCCCTCTACAAGCAACGGCTGCGCTGCTGCATAAATTTGAATTAAATTAAATTCTAAAAGACAAATTAAAATTAAATTAATTCAAAGTTGCGAAATTCTGAGCAGCAGGGGCCCCCCAGCTGGCCCGCTGGACCGTCGGTGGCGCCCGCGGGCCGCAGCGCCGCTGCGTGGGA